TAAATTATGTCCGCGATACTTTTTTTCTGCTTATTTTGATCACGTTCGGCGCTCGATCGCGCTGTATGAGACAGGAAAACATAGCATGCAGACATTAGCGACAGGTCTTACAGGCGGAAAAGGCTTGCCAAAAGAAAAAAAAAACACACCACAACATCTCTCCTATTGGTGGAAAACTTCACCACAACAACCAATCCAAAATTATATGGTGACTGATTGACAAGGGGCGGGCGCTTACGTTCTTCCTGCAACATGAGAAGCGAGGGAGGGACTCTCAGCAGGGATGCAGTCTGGGACACGTAGTTGCAAACCTAGCGACTTTGTTGTTAGATTCAATGACTTTTCAGACCCCCTAACGACTTTTTTTTAGAAAGAAAGGGACTTTTATCGACTTCTTCTGGAGTTTAGAGACTCTGACATGAAGCAGGCTTTCCTTACTGAGGAGTTAGCAACGCTGCTAAGGGTGCAGAGCCACACATGCGCTCAGAGCTCTGCATGGGAGACTGAAGCTGACAGAGCTGCAGCAGTTAGCAGGTTTCACCCTCAGAGACCACCAGGGGTTCATGTTGAGGCATTTTAATTTTTTTTTTTTTGTGCCATAGACACTGTCAGCACAATCTGTAGTTACACTAACAAAAATGCTGCAAAAAACAAAGAATTATGGAAAAATTACACATGGACTGACATAGAGGAGGATCTACACAAGTTTTTTACATCATGTTTTACATCATGCATCATTTACATCATGTTTTTTTGTAGTGGCATAAATAAAAAGTGACATTTGTGAGACTATACAGTGTTTTGTAAATAATTTTACAAAGAACGCCTGGGCCATTGCCTGCATTTTGATGTAAATAGAGGTAAATTACTATGTTCTTTGTTAAAAATTTGCATATGTTTTGAAGTTTACAATTTTTATTTGAAGTTTAAGTTTTAAAAACAGTTCATCACACATATTTGTGGTTTAATTTCACATTAATTTCCATATTGTATAAATGACTGGAAAAAACTTGAGCCCCTGCCCCTGTATAATCATGTGCACGTCCCTGTTCTAGCTCCAAGGTGAATCTTCACTGCTCATGTTCTCCTCAGAAATAGTCACCTCACTCCCCTCAGGTTACTGTACACATGCACCAACTATCTGCTTCAGGTTTGAAATGGAGCTTCATGGTTGTCTTTTGGAGAAATGAACAGTCAAGTTGTGTTTGAAATTTGATTTTTTTCAGGGGCAAAAGGAAGCCTCTGCATTCTTGTCAAATATGTAAACAGCATGTTTTTGCAGGTGCTAAAAAACAGACTCTGAGTGTGTGTGTGTGTCTGTGTGTGTGTGTGTGTGTGTGTGTGTGTGTGTATGTTGGCGTGTGTGTATATGTGTGTGTATCCTGCAGTACTCTGTACTCCTGCAGTGGCCAAAAAGACTTTTAAGAATGTGGATTTTTGGGTCATCTTTGGCGCCCCCTAGAACTGCAGTACTCTGTACTCCTGCAGTGGCCAAAATGACTTTTAAGAATGTGGATTTTTGGGTCATCTTTGGCGCCCCCTAGAACGTAAACCGTGGGGTGCAGCGTCAAGATTTTTACAACTTTGAATGGGCATGGGGTGTAGATTGCCCTGAGCAAATTTGGTATCGGTGGGACGAAAGCCTTAGGAGGAGATAGCCACATTCCAATGTGTGCGAATCGGCAAAAAATGCAAAATAGCCCTTTAACCGTACATTATACAGATACGCGCTCTTTGACTTTTTCGTAGATCTAATTGAGATACACATGATTGTCAATTTTTGTGTCAATATGACAAAGCGTTCAGGCGTGACACTCAACAATGTGTATTTTTATGTAAGGGGACAAGAAAAAATTGACTTTTTTCTCCTACCATGGGGGGGCGCTCTTTTGGGGAGTAAAAATTCCTTCACAAATGTGTTGATGGCTGGACATTGCATCATCCTAGAAAACTTGGAGGCCAGTGAGGACAAAAATAAAAAGTTATAAAACATTTAAGAATGTGGATTTTTGGGTTATTTTTGGCGCCCCCTAGAACCTAAACCATGGGGTGCAGCATCATGATTTGAATAACTTTTAATGGCCATGGGGTGTAGATTGGCCTGAGCAAATGTGGTGCCGGTGGAACGAAAGCCTTCGGAGGAGTTAGCGAAATTCCAATGTGTGCGTATCGGCAAAAAATGCGGAATAACCCTTTAACTGTACATTTGACAGATACGCGCGCATGGACTTTTTTGTAGATCTTATTGAGTTACATGTGTGTGTCAATTTTTGTGTCATTTTGACAAAGCGTATAGGCGTGACACTCAACAATGTGTATTTTCACCTAAGGGGACAAGAAAAAATGGACTTTTTTCTCCTGCCATGGGGGGGCGCTCTTTTGGGGAGTAAAAATTCCTTCACAAATGTGTTGATGGCTGGACATTGCATCATCCTAGAAAACTTGGAGGCCAGTGAGGACAAAAATAAAAAGTTATAAGACTTTTAAATATGTGGATTTTAGTGTTATCTTTGGCGCCCCCTAGAACCTAAACCTTGGGGTGCAGCGTCATGATTTTGATAACTTTTAATGGCCACGGGGTGTAGATTGGCCTGAGCAAATGTGGTGCCGGTGGAACGAAAGCCTTCGGAGGAGTTAGCGAAATTCCAATGTGTGCGGATCGGCAAAAAATGCGAAATAACCCTTTAACCGTAATTTTGACAGATACGGCCGCACTGACTTTTTTGTAGATCTTATTGAGATACATATGTGTGTCAATTTTTGTGTCAATATGACAAAGCGTACAGGCGTGACAGTCAATAGTGTGAATTTCCACCTTAGGGGGCGCTATGGAGCCATTTTGCTTTTTATTGTTTGGGCGACTTCAGAATATCGAATTTTTCACCAGGCCCGGTCGTCCTGCCAAATTTCATGAGTTTTCGCCAGTGGGAAGTGGGCCATTTTCCAGTTCAAAGGGGAGGAAAAAGAAGAAAGAAAGAAAGAAAGAAAGAAAGAAACAAAGAAAAACCACTTGGGGAATAATAGGGCCTACGCCCGGCTGCTCTGCAGCTGGCTCGGGCCCTAAAGAAAGAAAGAAAGAAACAAAGAAAAACCACTTGGGGAATAATAGGGCCTACGCCCGGCTGCTCTGCAGCTGGCTCGGGCCCTAACTAGGGCCCCGTTGGGGCACTGGCGGGCCCGAGCCGTGTCGCGCCACCCCCAGCGCGACCGCCTACCCCTCCCGATCGCGTCACACTCAAGGTCCAAAGATGGTGTGCGCACTTGTCTGTGGTCATTTACCATTATAATGAATGGGAGGCGCAGTTTCTACCAAAACGCTCGCTGCAGACAAACTCCATGTCCTTTTTGAAAAAAGTCTGGACCATGAGTGAGGGCACAAACACAGCTAGTATATATCCAAATGGCAAGTTGCTCCTCCTTTCGGTTTTGCCGAGAGAGCGATGCGTTTGAGCCATTGAGCGATGGGCAGGAAAAACTTGACTTTTTCTCCTGCCATGGGGGGGCGCTCTTTTGGCGAGTAAAAATTCCTTCACAAATGTGTTGATGGCTGGACATTGCATCATCCTAGAGAACTTGGAGGCCAGTGAGGACAAAAATAAAAAGTTATAAGACTTTTAAGACTGTGGATTTTTGGGTTATCTTTGGCGCCCCCTAGAACATAAACCGTGGGGTGCAGCGTCATGATTTGTACAACTTTTAATGGCCATGGGGTGTAGATTGGCCTGAGCAAATGTGGTGCCGTTGGAACGAAAACCTTCGGAGGAGTTAGCGAAATTCCAATGTGTGCGGATCGGCAAAAAATGCGAAATAACCCTTTAACCGTACATTTGACAGATACGCCCGCACTGACTTTTTTGTAGATCTTATTGAGATACATGTGTGTGTCAAATTTTGTGTCATTTTGACAAAGCGTACAGGCGTGACAGTCAACAATGTGTATTTTCGCCTTAGGAGACAAGAAAAAATGGACTTTTTTCTCCTGCCATGGGGGGGCGCTCTTTTGGCGAGTAAAAATTCCTTCACAAATGTGTTGATGGCTGGACATTGCATCATCCTAGAGAACTTGGAGGCCAGTGAGGACAAAAATAAAAAGTTATAAGACTTTTAAGACTGTGGATATTTGGGTTATCTTTGGCGCCCCCTAGAACGTAAACCGTGGGGTGCAGCATCATGATTTGTACAACTTTTAATGGCCATGGGGTGTAGATTGGCCTGAGCAAATGTGGTGCCGGTGGAACGAAAGCCTTCGGAGGAGTTAGCGAAATTCCAATGTGTGCGGATCGGCAAAAAATGCGAAATAGCCCTTTAACGGTACATTTGACAGATACGCCCGCACTGACTTTTTTGTAGATCTTATTGAGATACATGTGTGTGTCAATTTTTGTGTCAATATGACAAAGCGTAAAGGCGTGACAGTCAATAGTGTGAATTTTCACCTTAGGGGGCGCTTTGGAGCCATTTTGCATTTTATTGTTTGGGCGACTTCAGAATATCGAATTTTTCACCAGGCCCGGTCGTCCTGCCAAATTTCATGAGTTTTCGCCAGTGGGAAGTGGGCCATTTTCCCCTTCAAAGGGGAGGAAAAATAAGAAGAAACTAGGGCCCCGTTGGGGCACTGGCGGGCCCGAGCCGTGTCGCGCCGCCCCCAGCGCGACCGCCTACCCCTCTTGATCGCGTCACACTCAAGGTCCAAAGATGGTGTGCGCACTTGTCTGTGGTCATTTACCATTATAATGAATGGGAGGCGCAGTTTCTACCAAAACGCTCGCTGCAGACAAACTCCATGTCCTTTTTGAAAAAAGTCTGGACCATGAGTGAGGGCACAAACACAGCTAGTATATATCCAAATGGCAAGTTGCTCCTCCTTTCGGTTTTGCCGAGAGAGCGATGCTTTTGAGCCATTGAGCGATGGGCAGGAAAAACTTGACTTTTTCTCCTGCCATGGGGGGGCGCTCTTTTGGGGAGAAAAAATTCCTTCACAAATGTGTTGATGGCTGGACATTGCATCATCCTAGAAAACTTGGAGGCCAGTGAGGACAAAAATAAAAAGTTAAAAGACTTTTAAAAATGTGGATATTTGGGTCCTCTTTGGCACCCCCTAGAACGTAAACCGTGGGGTGCAGCGTCATGATTTGTACAACTTTGAATGGCCATGGGGTGTAGATTGACCTGAGCAAATTTGAAGCCGATGGGACAAAAGCTTTAGGAGGAGTTAGCCACATTCCAATGTGTGCGAATCGGCAAAAAATGCGAAATAGCCCTTTAACCGTACATTGAACAGATACGCTCGCATTGACTTTTTCGTAGATCTTATTGAGATACATGTGTGTGTCAAATTTTGTGTCATTTTGACAAAGCGTAAAGGCGTGACAGTCAACAATGTGTATTTTCACCTTAGGAGACAAGAAAAAATGGACTTTTTTCTCCTGCCATGGGGGGGCGCTCTTTTGGCAAGTAAAAATTCCTTCACAAATGTGTTGATGGCTGGACATTGCATCATCCTAGAGAACTTGGAGGCCAGTGAGGACAAAAATAAAAAGTTATAAGACTTTTAAGACTGTGGATTTTAGGGTTATCTTTGGCGCCCCCTAGAACGTAAACCGTGGGGTGCAGCGTCATGATTTGTACAACTTTTAATGGCCATGGGGTGTAGATTGGCCTGAGCAGATGTGGTGCCGTTGGAACGAAAGCCTTCGGAGGAGTTAGCGAAATTCCAATGTGTGCGGATCGGCAAAAAATGCGAAATAACCCTTTAACCGTACATTTGACAGATACGCCCGCACTGACTTTTTTGTAGATCTTATTGAGATACATGTGTGTGTCAAATTTTGTGTCATTTTGACAAAGCGTAAAGGCGTGACAGTCAACGATGTGTATTTTCGCCTTAGGAGACAAGAAAAAATGGACATTTTTCTCCTGCCATGGGGGGGCGCTCTTTTGGCGAGTAAAAATTCCTTCACAAATGTGTTGATGGCTGGACATTGCATCATCCTAGAGAACTTGGAGGCCAGTGAGGACAAAAATAAAAAGTTATAAGACTTTTAAGACTGTGGATTTTTGGGTTATCTTTGGCGCCCCCTAGAACGTAAACCTTGGGGTGCAGCGTCATGATTTGTACAACTTTTATTGGCCATGGGGTGTAGATTGGCCTGAGCAAATGTGGTGCCGGTGGAACGAAAACCTTCGGAGGAGTTAGCGTAATTCCAATGTGTGCGGATCGGCAAAAAATGCGAAATAAACCTTTAACCGTACATTTGACAGATACGCCCGCACTGACTTTTTTGTAGATCTTATTGAGATACATGTGTGTGTCAATTTTTGTGTCATTTTGACAAAGCGTACAGGCGTGACAGTGAATACTGTGAATTTTCACCTTAGGGGGCGCTATGGAGCCATTTTGCATTTTCTTGTTTGGGCGACTTCGGAATATCAAATTTTTCACCAGGCCCGGTCGTCCTGCCAAATTTCATGAGTTTTCGCCAGTGGGAAGTGGGCCATTTTCCAGTTCAAAGGGGAGGAAAAATAATAACTAGGGCCCCGGTGGGGCACTGTCGGGCCTGAGCCGCGTCGCGCCGCCCCCAGTGCGACCGCCTCCCCGTCCCGATCGAGTCACACTCAAGAACCAAAGATGGTGTGCGCACTTGTCTGTGGTCATTTCCCATTATAATGAATGGGAGGCGCAGTTTCTACCAAAACACTCGCTGCAGACAAACTTCATGTCCTATTTGAAAAAAGTCTGGACCATGAGTGAGGGCACAAACACAGCTATGATATATCGAAATGCCAGGTTGCTCCTCCTTACGGTGTTGCCTGGAGAGCGATGCGATTGAGCCATTGAGCGATGGGCAGGGAAAACTTGACTTTTTCTCCTGCCATGGGGGGGGGATGTGGATTCTTTTAAGAATGTGGATTTTTGGGTCATCTTTGGCGCCCCCTAGAACGTAAACCGTGGGGTGCAGCGTCATGATTTTTACAACTTTGAATGGCCATGGGGTATAGATTGGCCTGAGCAAATTTGGTGTCAGTGGGACGAAAGCCTTAGGAGGAGTTAGCCACATTCCAATGTGTGCGAATCGGCAAAAAATGCAAAATAGCCCTTTAACCGTACATTTGACAGATACGCACGAATTGACTTTTTTGTAGATCTTATTGAGATACATATGTGTGTCAATTTTTGTGTCAATATGATAAAGCGTACAGGCGTGACAGTCAATAGTGTGAATTTCCACCTTAGGGGACAAGAAAAAATGGACTTTTTTCTCCTGCCATGGGGGGCGCTCTTTTGGGGAGTAAAAATTCCTTCACAAATGTGTTGATGGCTGGACATTGCATCATCCTAGAAAACTTGGAGGCCAGTGAGGACAAAAATAAAAAGTTATAAGACTTTGAAATATGTGGATTTTAGGGTTATCTTTGGCGCCCCCTAGAACCTAAACCGTGGGATGCAGCGTCATGATTTGAATAACTTTTAATGGCCATGGGGTGTAGATTGGCCTGAGCAAATGTGGTGCCGGTGGAACGAAAGCCTTCGGAGGAGTTAGCGAAATTCCAATGTGTGCGGATCGGCAAAAAATGCGGAATAACCCTTTAACCGTACATTTGACAGATACGCGCGCATTGACTTTTTCGTAGATCTTATTGAGATACATGTGTGTGTCAAATTTTGTGTCATTTTGCCAAAGCGTACAGGTGTTACACTCAACAATGTGTATTTTCACCTTAGGGGACAAGAAAAAATGGACTTTTTTCTCCTGCCATGGGGGGCGCTCTTTTGGGGAGTAAAAATTCCTTCACAAATGTGTTGATGGCTGGACATTGCATCATCTTAGAAAACTTGGAGGCCAGTGAAGACAAAAATAAAAAGTTATAAGACTTTTAAATATGTGGATTTTAGTGTTATCTTTGGCGCCCCCTAGAACCTAAACCTTGGGGTGCAGCGTCATGATTTTGATAACTTTTAATGGCCACGGGGTGTAGATTGGCCTGAGCAAATGTGGTGCCGGTGGAACGAAAGCCTTCGGAGGAGTTAGCGAAATTCCAATGTGTGCGGATCGGCAAAAAATGCGAAATAACCCTTTAACCGTAATTTTGACAGATACGGCCGCACTGACATTTTTGTAGATCTTATTGAGATACATACGTGTGTCAATTTTTGTGTCAATATGACAAAGCGTACAGGCGTGACAGTCAATAGTGTGAATTTCCACCTTAGGGGGCGCTATGGAGCCATTTTGCATTTTATTGTTTGGGCGACTTCAGAATATCGAATTTTTCACCAGGCCCGGTCGTCCTGCCAAATTTCATGAGTTTTCACCAGTGGGAAGTGGGCCATTTTCCAGTTCAAAGGGGAGGAAAAAGAAGAAAGAAAGAAAGAACTAGGACCCCGTTGGGGCACTGGCGGGCCCGAGCCGTGTCGCGTCCCCCCCCAACGTGCTGCCTCCCCGTCCCATTTGTGTCCTCTGGCCATCGCCCTCTCTGGTAACGCCCATCACTGCAAAGACCCTTTTCCTTCATCGGCGTTTGCTGTTCTTCCTGCCAGTGCGTGTTGCTTTCACTTACACTTGCCACAGCCAGCCTCGTGAGTGCCTAGCCTATTGGATATCACTGTCACCTACACAGGACAGTCATTACCTTTCTATTAATACTTTGTGTTTTAATTTCACATTAATTTTCATATTGTATAAACGACTGGAAAAAACTTGAGCCCCTGCCCCTGTATAATCATGTGCACGTCTCTGTTCTAGCTGTAAGGTGAATCTTCACTGCTCATGTTCTCCTCAGAAGCAGTCACCTCACTCCCCTCAGGTTACTGTACACATGCACCAACTGCCTGCTTCAGGTTTGGATGGAGCTTCATGGTTGTCTTTTGGAGAAATGACCAGTCAAGTTGTGTTTGAAATTTGATTTTTTTCAGGGGCAAAAGGAGCCTCTGCATTCTTGTCAAATATGTAAATAGCATGTTTTTGCAGGTGCTAAAAAACAGACTCTGAGTGTGTGTGTGTGTGTGTGTGCGTGTGTGTGTGTGTCTGTGTGTGTGTGTGTGTGTGTGTGTGCGTTCAAGTCACATGACATATTTAACCGGATGTAGCTGCAAGACGGAGCCTCGTTGACTCCGTTTCAACTTATCTCAAAAGTGAGGACCTCAACCTATATACCAGTTTTTAAATTGTGTTGATAGGCCAAATAAAACCAGAGTTATGATAAATTATGTCCGCGATACTTTTTTTCTGCTTATTTTGATCACGTTCGGCGCTCGATCGCGCTGTATGAGACAGGAAAACATAGCATGCAGACATTAGCGACAGGTCTTACAGGCGGAAAAGGCTTGCCAAAGGAAAAAAAAAACACACCACAACATCTCTCCTATTGGTGGAAAACTTCACCACAACAACCAATCCAAAATTATATGGTGACTGATTGACAGGGGGCGGGCGCTTACGTTCTTCCTGCAATATGAGAAGGGAGGGAGGGACTCTCAGCAGGGATGCAGTCTGGGACACGTAGTTGCAAACCTAGCGACTTTGTTGTTAGATTCAATGACTTTTCAGACCCCCTAACGACTTTTTTTTAGAAAGAAAGTGACTTTTATCGACTTCTTCTGGAGTTTAGAGACTCTGACATGAAGCAGGCTTTCCTTACTGAGGAGTTAGCAACGCTGCTAAGGGTGCAGAGCCACACATGCGCTCAGAGCTCTGCATGGGAGACTGAAGCTGACAGAGCTGCAGCAGTTAGCAGGTTTCAACCTCAGAGACCACCAGGGGTTCATGTTGAGGCATTTTAATTTTTTTTTTTTTTTGTGCCATAGACACTGTCAGCACAATCTGCAGTTACACTAACAAAAATGCTGCAAAAAACAAAGAATTATGGAAAAATTACACATGGACTGACATAGAGGAGGATCTATACAAGTTTTTTACATCATGTTTTACATCATGCATCATTTACATCATGTTTTTTTGTAGTGGCATAAATAAAAAGTGACATTTGTGAGACTATACAGTGTTTTGTAAATAATTTTACAAAGAACGCCTGGGCCATTGCCTGCATTTTGATGTAAATAGAGGTAAATCACTATGTTCTTTGTTAAAAATTTGCATATGTTTTGAAGTTTACAATTTTTATTTGAAGTTTAAGTTTTAAAAACAGTTCATCACACATATTTGTGGTTTTCACAGTAAAAATGTTACTTTTTTCCACTCGGATTTTATGTTTTGTGTGTGAATTTGGGTCCATTGTGTAAATTCAGTATGTCAACATGATAAAATAACTGTAAATTCGCACAGGTGAGGTTGTGCTGAAAAAAATGATACCAGGCAAGGCACGTGATTGTCAAATTTTGTGTCAATATGACAAAGCGTATAGGCGTGAATCTCAACAATATGTATTTTCACCTTAGAGGACAAGAAAAAATGGACTTTTTTCTCCTGCCATGGGGGGCGCTCTTTTGGGGAGTAAAAATTCCTTCACAAATGTGTTGATGGCTGGACATTGCATCATCCTAGAAAACTTGGAGGCCAGTGAGGACAAAAATAAAAAGTTATAAGACTTTTAAATATGTGGATTTTAGGGTTATCTTTGGCGCCCCCTAGAACCTAAACCGTGGGGTGCAGCGTCATGATTTTGATAACTTTTAATGGCCATGGGGTGTAGATTGGCCTGAGCAAATGTGGTGCCGGTGGAACGAAAGCCTTAGGAGGAGTTAGCGAAATTCCAATGTGTGCGGATCGGCAAAAAATGCGGAATAACCCTTTAACCGTACATTTGACAGATACGGGCGCATTGACTTTTTCGTAGATCTTATTGAGTTACATGTGTGTGTCAATTTTTGTGTCATTTTGACAAAGCGTATAGGCGTGACACTCAACAATGTGTATTTTCACCTTAGGGGACATGAAAAAATGGACTTTTTTCTCCTGCCATGGGGGGGCGCTCTTTTGGGGAGTAAAAATTCCTTCACAAATGTGTTGATGGCTGGACATTGCATCATCCTAGAAAACTTGGAGGCCAGTGAGGACAAAAATAAAAAGTTATAAGACTTTTAAATATGTGGATTTTAGTGTTATCTTTGGCGCCCCCTAGAACCTAAACCTTGGGGTGCAGCGTCATGATTTTGATAACTTTTAGTGGCCACGGGGTGTAGATTGGCCTGAGCAAATGTGGTGCCGGTGGAACGAAAGCCTTCGGAGGAGTTAGCGAAATTCCAATGTGTGCGGATCGGCAAAAAATGCGAAATAACCCTTTAACCGTAATTTTGACAGATACGGCCGCACTGACTTTTTTGTAGATCTTATTGAGATACATATGTGTGTCAATTTTTGTGTCAATATGACAAAGCGTACAGGCGTGACAGTCAATAGTGTGAATTTTCACCTTAGGGGGCGCTATGGAGCCATTTTGCATTTTATTGTTTGGGCGACTTCAGAATATCAAATTTTTCACCAGGCCCGGTCATCCTGCCAAATTTCATGAGTTTTCGCCAGTGGGAAGTGGGCCATTTTCCAGTTCAAAGGGGAGGAAAAAGAAAAAAGAAAGAAAGAAACAAAGAAAAACCACTTGGGGAATAATAGGGCCTACGCCCGGCTGCTCTGCAGCTGGCTCGGGCCCTAACTAGGACCCCGTTGGGGCACTGGCGGGCCCGAGCCGTGTCGCGTCTCCCCCCCCCCCCCCCCCCCCCCAACGTGCTGCCTCCCCGTCCCATTTGTGTCCTCTGGCCATCGCCCTCTCTGTTAACGCCCATCACTGCAAAGACCCTTTCCCTTCATCGGCGTTTGCTGTTCTTCCTGCCAGTGCGTGTTGCTTTCACTTACACTTGCCACAGCCAGCCTCGTGAGTGCCTAGCCTATTGGATATCACTGTCACCTACACAGGACAGTCATTACCTTTCTATTAATACTTTGTGTTTTAATTTCACATTAATTTCCATATTGTATAAACGACTGGAAAAAACTTGAGCCCCTGCCCCTGTATAATCATGTGCATGTCTCTGTTCTAGCTCCAAGGTGAATCTTCACTGCTCATGTTCTCCTCAGAAGCACTCACCTCACTCCCCTCAGGTTACTGTACACATGCACCAACTGCCTGCTTCAGGTTTGGATGGAGCTTCATGGTTGTCTTTTGGAGAAATGACCAGTCAAGTTGTGTTTGAAATTTGATTTTTTTCAGGGGCAAAAGGAGCCTCTGCATTCTTGTCAAATATGTAAATAGCATGTTTTTGCAGGTGCTAAAAACCAGACTCTGAGTGTGTGTGTGTGTGTGTGTGTGCGTGCGTGTGTGTGTGTCTGTGTGTGCGTTCAAG